CTCCCTCAGCACTGACCCTCCGACAGTGCCCCCTCCCCTTCAGCACTGACCCTCCAACAGTGCCCGCCCCTCTGCACTGCCCCCCTGTGGCGCTCCCTCAGTGTTGACTCTCCGACAGTGTGGAGCTGACCCTGCGACAGTGCAGCGCTCCCTCGGCGCTGACCCTGCGACAGTGCAGCGCTCCCTCGGCGTTGACCCTGCGACAGTGCAGCACTCCCTCAGCACTGACCCTCCGACAGTGCGGCGCTCCCTCAGCACTGCTCTGCAGTAGTGCCAGCTGGGATCTTTATGCTTAAATCTCTGGAGTGGAATTCAAACTAACAGTTTTCTGATTCTGAGACAGCAGTTCAGATGCAAGAAAGCCAAATGTGTTAGCATTTTAAAAAAATGCTGCCTCTTTCAATATAACATTTTGCTGTTAAAGGTCCAGATGGTTTTAATAAAAAGTGAACAAAAGAAGTTATTCATGTCTTCTTATTATTGTCTTCTGTATTGGACAAAAGCTTCCATTGTGTCTTATGCCTACTGCCTCCTACCGCCCTCTTCTAGCATGTCTCCCCGGGCGATGAATGTTATTTTTCGGTCAGATCTGGGCGCCACGCCGCCCCCGTCTCCGCCCCCGTCTCCTCCCCCGTACGGACACGCGTCATTCGCCAACCTCTTTCTCGAGTCGGAGGCGTGAACTGAGCCGGGAATATCCAGAACCCTTTCCTGCATCTGTTCAACATAAACAAAAAAAAATCTATCGCTTGTACGGCAGATCAGAAAGCACCAACGGGGTGGAAGCAACACAGAGATCAGGACTTCGCTCACTCCAGTCGGTGGGTGCTCCCAAGGACTAAGATCCCACAGGAAGTGTCTAACATCAGCTGATCTGACCGCCACAGTCCGCAGGACAACTTTAATCAAGAAGCTTGGCAAATATCAAGGTAAAGGGGATCGAGACTGGTATAGTTTACACTGAGCTAATTCAGAGGTTTAAACTCTGATAAAGGGTCGCTGCATTCGAAACGTTAACTCTCCTGTCTCTCTACAGATGCTGCCAGACCCTGCTCAGTTTCTCCAGCAATTTTTGTTTTTGTTTCAGAGGAAATGTACTGTATTTATTTTCTCCTGCTTCATAGAGTACTCCTAACTACAGACCGTCTTGTCACCCAGTGTCTTACTAAACTGGACAATAGTTGCAAGGCTTTGTGTCCTGGTGGGACTGGAAACGGTGGAAAAGGCATGAATAGCAAGAACTGCAGATACTGGAGTCAGAGTCAATACAGTGTGGAGCCGGAGGAACACAGCAGGTCGGGCAGCATCAGAGGAGCCGTTTCGGACCTAGACCCTTCATCGACTCACCTGCTGTGTTCCTCCAGCTCCACACTGTATTGAAAAGGCGAGAATGTTCTTTTAAGATAGCCACTGAATCAACTGAGATTAAATCCAACTGCATGGTATTTTCTATAATCTGTTCTGCTAATTCCAAATTGTCTTTACAATGATACATTGAAATTGTTCAATAGTTTGAATTAAATGTAAATACCATAGGAAAGTAGAAGTTTTGCACTAAAGAAAATTAACTATTGGGCGAATTGAATTAAGCAACTTTGAACGAAGATGAAGAGACTGCTGATTGTGTGCAGGAGCATAAAAACATGTTGAATTAGCAACAATCATACTGTCCACTAACCTGTAATCACTGGAAGTAATGCACATACAGATTGTGTAATAGACATTGACTGCATGTAATAGTGTGTAGTGTACACTGTATATAATTCATGATAGTGATGCTGTAAGATGGTGGTGACAAGTTGTATGGTATTATCACCTAATAACACACGTTTATATTTCAATGGGTGATTAGTGCTAGAGAAGGTACTTGACAGAAATTGCTTTTATTTCGTAACAGTACTAAGCAGATTTCCAGTTTGCTTTGTAATTATTCAATTTTCCTCCCCACACAGCCCATTTTATTGCAATATTTAAACCAAATTGATTTTGGCATGATGCTGCTCCCATACCTGGGGAGTGTCTTCTCATACCTGTCTATCACTCCTGGGGAGGAGACAAAGAAAGCTGGTCAACCAGTCGGTGACATCTCTCCTATTTCTGCCTCCTAACCACCCTCTCCAATTGTAAACTTTCTCTATTGATCAATTGATAAATGCCCTCCTACAAATTCTTCTTGCTCACTGCCTTCTCACCATGTCGACATTAAAATTAATCCTTTTCAAGATCATTAAACTACAATTTCTATATGGTACAGACTTTTAGAAGCTAGTCTTGATGTCACCGAGTCACTTTAATTTATTTCATTTCCTTTATTATTCTTCTTTCTCCTTACAAAGACATAATAAGAATAAGAATTAGATTCACCAATGCTCACTCTATGCAACCACATGCATCATTTTTTTCCCAACCCTATGAGTCTCCAACTCCTGCAGTTCAGGGATTCAGCAGTTGGTAACGGATGGTTTAAGGATCCAGCTGTTATTGATGGAATAGTCAGGGATCCAACACTTGCTGGGGTTCTTGTGGTGCAGTGGTAATGTCCCTAGCCCTGGATCAAGAAGCCTAGATTCAAGTCCCTCTGCACCAGAGGTGTGTAATAACATCTTCAAACAGCTTGCTTAGAAAATACCTCACTGAGTGAAGATATGATTTCAACACTAGAATTGTACTTAGTGTGAGGTCACTTATGGGTGTGAAAAAACACATTGATCCCAGCTGTTCCTAATGGGTGGATCAGGAATCCAGCTGCTGCCCTCACCCGCCCCCCCGCCCCAACCATCTGTTATCTTGTCTGCCATTAAAGCTTTTTTAAAATTTAACAAAGGGCAATGACTTTGTGCCATACTTGCCCTCATCACCATAACTGCAAAAATGTTGACCAGAGCCTATTGTTTGGCAGCCAAGGTAGGCCCTGGAGTCAACCATTAGGTGTATTCCCAATGAAAATTGCACTGATCAAACAGTTCTCCATTACCATTTTTGGGCTGAGCCTACATTGTGCCCACTCTGGCCAATATCAGCCTGTGAGAGCCATCAAATGAATTCCTAATCATGTGTATAAGGCTGAGAGAAGGAGCAGGAATTATCTTGCCAATCCTACAAATTGGGCCCTGGCCTCTGTCAGTCTAGCACTCTCTTCCCTGTGCCGCAGGCACCATTCAGCCAAGCAGGTTGGAGCCATCCCCATGGACCAACCTTCTGGTCAGGCTGCCCTGAGGCCTCTAGTTACTGGCCACAGCCCGTCAGCTTCACTTAAAAGCCAACAGATGAAACAAAGCACGGAACTAATTGCTTTGTGGGTTGGATCATTTATTGAAACCACATTGCCTGTCCAGTAAAAAACAAACCTTGACAGCAGTTGGACAATGCTTGCAAAATGGTGACACTCACCAGTGTCTTGACTTGATCTTTCTTTAGATAGCAAAACATTAGTGATAGAATGTGTGGGGAAAATACCTCCCCTATGTTCCTCCCCCCCAAAAAAAAGGACGAAGTTTGTTCTGACTTACGAGACTAAAAGCCGCGTTGTTTACTCACAGGTTCAGCAGCGAGTTCCCTGCGATGTCTTTGCCACGGACCCTTGGTGAGCTCCAACTGTACCGTGTCCTGCAGAAGGCCCATCTGCTGCCTTATTATAATTCCTTTATCCAACAGGGAGGGGATGATGTGCAGCAGCTCAGTGAGGCAGGAGAGGAGGAGTTCCTGGAAATCATGGCCCTGGTTGGCATGGCGACGAAGCCTCTCCATGTGCGAAGGCTCCAGAAGGCCTTGCAGGAGTGGGTCGTGAACCCAGTGGTTTTCAACCAGCCTCTGGCCTCTGTTCCGCTCAGTAGCTTCTCTGCGTCAAAACTGATAAATTCATCTTCACGGGAGTCAAAGAAGAGACCGGTCAGCAGCAGCAGCACAGGCGCTGCTCCTGCAAAGCAAGTCAAACATCGGCAGAGTTTCATCACTGCATCAGCAAGGAGCATCAGCCCCAACTCCCCGTCTGATGGGAGGAAGAAGTTTTCTGGCGAAGAGTGCCAACCGCCAGAGCCTGACAGCAGCCTCCCAAGGGACGACCCCACATCTCCCCGAGACAGCCCCACCCAACTGGACCTTGCTACAGCGCAGACGATTGCAGAGAGCGTCCGGCACATAATAAACACCTTCCCCAAAAGTTACCCCGCGGAACTTTTGAAACTGAACAAAAAGTTGGCAAAATCCGTCGGTCCCATCTTCCAGGCGGAGGAGGAGGAGGAGGAGGATAGCAGGAAGTCCAGTGGGCGATTCGAGTGGAAGCGCGGGAACAGCAGGCAGCTGTCAAAACACAAGGTTGGGAACGGACTGTGTTTGTAAATGGACACAGTTCTCTGAGAAAAAGTGAGAGGGCGGTTTAATAAAATACAATCACAGGGAGGGAGATTAGAGGAGTGAACCCACTCCCTTCACACTTATAGGGTTTTGCGTCTGGTCTGCTACAGTGAAATAAATAAATCTTCTTTAGAATAAGAACAGAAGTTGCTGGAAAAGCTCAGCAGGTCTGGCAGCATCTGTGAAGAAAGAATCAGAGTTAACGTTTCGGGTCCAGTGACCCTCCTTCAGAACTTTTTAGAATAATTTGTTTCGGCAATGAACTCATGTTAATAATGAACTTAAATGAAAATTTTCAAGTCTGATACCCGATGAATTGTCTTTAAATGCTGGCTTTACCATGTGCCGTGGACAGCTGCTAGGGAGAGCGCAACAGAACACGGATCTCCAGGTCTTAAAGCTGCATTGAAATGTTAACACACTGTCTTCTGTATTTAGAGCAGAATGTAAGCAGCTTGCTTTTTTTATTGAGAAGGATAGGACCTCGGAGTGTGGAGGCGCTACCACGGTTCAATAGAGTGAGTGAGAAGATGAGATCAATGAAGAGGAATGGTTAGGTGATGCTAACTGAACAAAGTCACTGCTAACTCTTAAAAAGGATATGGGCAAGTATTTTAAAATAGCTTTTTAAATAAAGAAATTACAGGGAAAGGGACTAAGGAAAGATCCCTCCTTGAGTTTTGTTTAAAACTTGTAGATTGTACAAGGAAGGGAAAAGTGGACAGGATGTGGAGCTACACAGTTTTGAGGGTCCGGGAATAAGTGGGTCCCTTCTGCTTGTGGAGAGGAGCAACTCCGGCAATCATTTGTGTTTTCAGATGGGCGGCACGGTGGCTCCATAGTTAGCACTGTTGCCTCACAGGGCCAGGGGGACGTAGGTTCTTAATTCCACTCTCGGCCGTCTGTCCGTGTGGAGTTTGCACATTCTCCCTGCGTCTGCGTGGGTTTCCTCCGGGTGCTCCGGTTTCCTCCCACAGTCCAAAGATGTGCAGGTTAGGGTGGGATTGGCCACTGGAAATGCAGGGTAATAGGGTAGGGGGCTGGGTCTGGGTGGGATGCTCTTCGGAGGGTCGGTGCAGGCTGGATGGGTCTCTTCCCACATTGTAGAGATTGTCAGGCAGCATCAGAAACGGAAATGAAAGCATTCTGTTAACTCAATCTTTTGTAAGCACTGAGGGACAATAAAGGGCAAGTCATCTTAGACGGTAGTGCGAAGCGAGTGCGAGGAAATCACCAAATAAAAGCAAAGTCGCGCGGATTCTGGAAATCTGAAACAAAAACAGAACAAAAAAAAATCTATGGAGAGAGAGAGAGAAACAGTTAACGTTTCGAATCTAAAGAAGTCATTCCGGACTCGAAACGTTAACTCAAGTTCTCTCTCTACAGATGCTGCTAGACCTGCTGAGCATCTCCAGCACTTTCTGTTTTTAATTGAGGAAATCACTAGCCGGCTCTGGACGTCGCCAATGGAAAACACATTCAAGTACAATCTTTCTCTTCCTAACCCAGCATTACTCATCCCCATTAAAATGCAAATTTCTCAGAATGAATTGTGTTTCTTTAGCACTGTAGATGAGATAAATACAGGATAAACAAAGATTTGCCACTGTGGCATAAAACAG